CATGCAGGGACTGAAAATCCACTTGTGGTAACAGCACGTCTGTTTCTGCGAGGTGGTGGCCAACTGCGAGTGTTGCTCACTTCATCACCACCTTCCCCTCCATCCCCAGAGCTCATCCCGTTCAGTAGCTGTATTCTCCTACAGCCCTTTGGAGCAGGAACCACCCGGGACCCAGCACCCAGAGCCAGGCTCTCCCTTGGTACCAGCAAGCCACTGCAATACAAACACCCAAAGAACAAAAACATGAAGGTGTTTCAGCTGCCTCCAAGCTCTGTCCTTGTTATCATATTTCATACAAATATTTGGCTGAAAAATACATTTCCTGGGACACTGCTGCAGCAAGCTGCTACAACTGTCAACGTAAATGATGTTCTGCCAACGGCAATCTCGCAGTGTCATCGCTAATAACACAGTACTAAATCCCAACTCACAGGGGACGTGCTCATCTGCTGGAAGACTCTTCAACGGCACGCTCAGCCCAGACCTCAGCCCTGCCGTACCCACGCCCATCACCCTGATCTGTTCTCCCCATTCCTGCATTGATGGTGGCACAGGCAGAGGATCACGTGGAGCACACCTGTGAGACCACCGCACAAACATCACTGCACAAACGTTTTGTCGGTGTTGGGGGCAGGCTGCTGCATATTCTGATTCTTGCTAGCCTGGTCTGAGGCAGAGGTTTTACCATATGCATGTCACAGCAACCACAGCTACTTTGCATGCACAGATCAGGAATAGGGTGCAGAGGACACAAGAAAGAAAAAAACCCACACTCAGAGTCAGGTACATACCTGCACCTTCCTCTGCAAGCACACCTCGATGCCCAGCTCACCTGAGCAGACAGACCTCCACCACCAAATGCCCATAATCACTCTCCGGACTGACCCATCGCTTCTAAGAGGGAAACTCCAAGCCTATTACATTATCCCTATTTACAGAGGCAGAAATTAAAGTGTAAAGGAACTGATTCTCCTCTGTGGCGCAACAACAGAGAGGAAAGGAGAACACAAGAGTCCTGGTTCCCAGCATCACGCTTTGTTCACTCTTCTGCAATGACCGTCCTGTAAACGTGAAAAGATACAAACACTGAAATCTACTGGAAGGAGCTGTAGGGTCAGGATCTCAAAATGGATGGTCTTGTTTTAATCTCTTTTACTTCTCCCGGCACAGTCAAAACTCTATTATATTCTAAAATTGCTAAGATCTTTAAATTTCTTTAGGTCACTTAGAGGACACCACGCTGCTTATACGTACTCAAACAAATCAAAAATCAAGGAGGAAGGAGAATTTTTTCAAGACCCCCAACACTGTACAACTAAAGATAATAGGATGAACTGCAGGGAATTGAAACTTGGGTTAGCTATGGAGAAGAGAGATCCTAGTATCCATTCAATGGGGAAGATGCAATGGGAGTTAGGGGGAGCCACACTCCTTGTGCCATTTAAAAACTGAATGGATTAAATCCTTGCAAAAATCTACTGTGCTAGCAGAAGCACAGCCTCTGGTGGTTATTTGTGCTGCAACGGGGATGTAAGCCACAATGTGACAGTCGTGGGGCAAACACATAGCAAGAGGTAGTCCCTATCCCCAAGAAAACATACAAAGAGCAAGCATGTGCACAGCACGGAGAGGGAAAGCAAAGCGATAGGCAAAATGACCTGCTGAGACCACAAAACATCATGTTCCCCAAGCCTTCCCACTACTCTTTTTTGAGAGCTGCTTTACGAAGCGTGACACCACTTCCTTGTTTATATCAAGGACCTGGGAACATGAGCAGGACAGACAAGACATTAACTTTATGCATGAGTTCAGAGTAGGGCTCCAGGGCCTGCTTCCAGAAAAAGGAGTCGCAAGAAAAAAGACACAGCCCCATCAAGAACTGACCCCAAGCAAAGGCAGCACGCACAGACGGAGCGCCTGGGAAAAGCATCCTGCAGCCAGCTCCTAATGCCCTTTCTGGCCGCAGTGTTCAGTCATCTGTCCAGGTGAGGGGTGAAGGGACGGAGCTTCCAGATGTGTTTGGTGCTCCATCCGCCGGGGAGCACTGGACATCCAAGGGGAAAATCCAAATTATCCCCATTTCAACAGCAGGCTCTGTTTCAGGGCTGCGTGACTTTATCCTGCTCTCCCGTCTACTCTCTTCCCTTCCAGCTCAAAACGCCGCTTCCCCAGGGAACGTCTGGAAATTTGCACCATGAAGTCTGCACAGCTGAAACATCTGCAGCGCTTACAGCACCACTGTGCACCGCCGCTCTCTGCCCTGCCTGTGCAAGGCCAGCGTGTGTTTAGCCACCGACACACAATACAGCCTTCCCCACGTGATGGGGAAATCACACTGTCAAGGGAAACGACACTTTTGGGGTTTTTAGGCCATGCTAATATGACAGAAGGGGGTCGTGCTAATTGCTGCCTCTACTGGGAAACGGCTTTTAATAAGGCAGATGAACAATCCCTAACCATCGTATCGGGAACAAGGGGGAGAGGGGGGACGAAAAGGACAACTGTGCAGAAGAGCTATAGGGAAATGGATTATTTTGCTATGCACAGCCAGTTCAAGTCCAGTGCTGTCTGTCAGGGGCAGAGGCATGAGCATGAGATGTTCCCAGGCCTGAGGGCTGGCAACCCAGGGCAAGTGGAAGTGCTTGCACTATAACCAGCACAGCCCCAAAACTTGTCACGAGTACCCAGACATGGTCATCACCACACAACACTGACCAGGGCTGTCAGAGGGACACCAAAGCTGCAGGCACAACTGCTAAGGAGACACCAGGTCCCACTGCACAAACCTTTATTAGGAGCCTTGGCAGTGCAGCAGGACTGAAAGACTGGACTCCCGTCTTACCTCAGCACAAATGACTCACTAGCCATCAGCACAGAGGGGAAAAGTAGTTTAGTTGCTCCTGTGTGCAGACACCCAGGAGTGTGGTCCCTGACATTTCCAAATAAGCAACTCAAGCAACACTAAGTATCTGTATTTCAGGCTATTGTTCATTTGGCTGGGTTTTTTCGCCTGGAATTTTTTGTTTGTTTTGGTTTAGTTTGATTTAATTTTTTACAACCAGCAAATGATTTCTGCCTGACCACTCCAACTCCATCAGATGCTTCTGAACAGGGAGGAAAATACTCCTCAAGACAGTCCAGGCATCCAAAAATGTGCGTCTGATGGTGAAGTGCTGAAACAAAAAAGGATCAATACCATGCCAGTCACTCACGGAGGAGTTTGCAGCCTGCACAGGTCACTACAGTTTCCCATCTGTCTCAGATACATTTCTCCCCAATTATAAAAAAACCCAGAGATTTAACAGGCATGTTTTTCATCACTATCAGCTCAATCTGGTGAAAAACTCAACCTCGCATATTTGTTTTTGCAGCCAGCGGGTGGTGTGGTGCTGCAGAAGCGAGATTTGGGTGAGAACTCCAGGCAGAAATCTGCTCAGGCCGGCTGGTGCTCCAGAAGGAACGCTTCCCATTTAACCTCTTCCATTGCCTCTATTCACAAAGCAGATTAAACATTACAGAGTTACAAGATACAATTATGCAGAATGAGTTATGATGCCAAGGACAGCATATTCACCTTTGTAGTTTGATCAATATTACTTATCAGTTGCGAACCAGGCCCAACATGGGAGCTGTCTCTGGAGTGTAGAACTGCCCATAGAAAGCGCTCCCCTCGCCTCCGTGCTTCATTAAGTGCACAGAGGATCTGGCAGGGGCTGGCAATTAGATACAGAGCATTCAACCACTCACGAATACTCTGCAGATTCCATACAGATTACCTCCACGACACAATCCATTGATCAGAGGTGTATTCTCAGGCCCCACACTTAATTACACTCCCTGCTGATGGATGAACAGCAAAGCCATCTCTTGTGAAAATACGTTGGTAGCAGAATGCCAAGCAACGCAATCCTAAACAAAGACAGAAGCGGCTGGGAAGGATTTCAGAGCTTTCAAGGTTAAAGTTGCCTACAAAATATACTGAGGTCGGCACGAACAGGAGACAGACGTGGCAGGGGGGCACCGTCCCGAGAGAAGGGACAGCTCAGCCAAACTCCTGGCCCTCGTGAGTTTGTCCACTTGCAGGACAGGGATTATACAACACTGGGGAGGCAGCCAGGCTTGCTGGGAAGGATGCTGGAGTCTGGGGACCCCCCACTGCACTCATGCTTTCAGCTACTTTCTCATGTCCAGACTTGCCCACTGCACTCTTAGTTTACAGAGAAAAATGCACCAAGAGACCGAGGCCCAGATTGGGAGGTGAAGGACCCCTCACATCCAAAGCCTTGCTCCAACAGTCTGTGTCACCAGAAGAAATCCCAGCTGAGACTGTTCCCAAATACCACAAAAACATCTCTGGAGCCTACCCAACAGCTCAGCAAAGAGCCAGCAACACAGACACAGAATGCAAGTCAGACGTCGATGTGCTTAACCTCCTCTGGATCTTGCTAGGCAACCCAGGCTAGACACAGCCCTGCCAACTACTCCAGCCTCCAACCAGCCTGGACAAGTGACTTCCTCTGCCTGTGCCAGCTTTTGCTCATCCCGTCACCCAAGGCCACTGGAGATAAGATTACAACAACCTGCACTTCCCCAAGGTGCAAGCAGGGTGCCTGACTCCTTCTAAAAGCCCCGGATCATAACATAGTGTAGGGCTGTTAAAATCCACTTGTTGCTACAATCCACCTGCAAAAAGAATCCCTTGGCACAGAGAGAAACAACCCCATTATTACTGTTGGCTGCCTAGTCCTGGGGTTGGGCGGAGCAGCCAGTCATGACTCCCAAGTGTCAATACCTCCCAACCCAACCTTGCTTATCCCATGAGAGCAAAGAGAAATCTTTAATAAAATGCCTTCTCTGCAAGTTTTAACCAAAGCCTGCCATGTGCAGAGCCACACCAGCAGGAGAGATCACCACTGATACTTCAGCTCAGCTTGCCATCACACACAATGGCTCTCTGGCAGACACGTGCCCGGCCTGACACACTCCTGCCTGCACCTTACCTTTCAGGACACTGAGGACTGCATCATTGCTGTAGCGTTTTCGGGCAGCGTTGGTTGCCACGCAGTGGTACGTCCCAGCATCACTCTCCTGCACATCCACGATTTGGAGAACGCCATTTGGAAGAGTTATAAACCTGAGTGACCAAAAGAAAGAGTGTGAGACTGGCACAAAACTCTCTTATCCCTTCTTTTTCACCTGCTGACATACCATGTACAGACCCTGGTAATCACAGCAGAATGGGACTGACAAACCTTTGAGCCACCCAGCTGGTGGTTCTTAAAAAGCAGCAGGTACAGATCTGTCTGCAGCACTGGAGTTTTCAAAACACAGGATCTGCTTTCAGGAGACCAGACCAACAAGGCTTTGCTGATACAAGCCAACTGTATAGTATAAAACAACTACATACACACATAGAACATTGCTACATGCAGATCTGTAGACATCTCCAAGTGTTCAAGTGCCTTCACACACGCTACAGCCAGTTTCACCACTTGCTTTCCACAAAGTTTTGTTAGACAGTGAAAAAATACATTGCGAAGAATTATGATCATCATCTCTTTCCTGCTGCATCTCAAGCATATGAAGGGACCAAATGATACACAGATACACCTTTGTGGCCCAAAGCAGCCAGGACACAGCTCCCTGGAGCTGCACCATTCCTGGGTTGTGTTGATTGCTTTTGTTCTCCCAGGAGTTTCTGGCTTTCACAAACTGACAAACTTAGAGCCGGGCATTCAGTATCCCCCCCTCATTTGCCCATGGGGTGATACCACAGAGTGAAATGGCTACATGGCTCATAACATGAACACAGTCCTTGCTGCATTATACTGAACAAAGCAGATGATTAGCAATTAGCATAAAAGTAGGAGCTGGCTGTCAGCATCTCCATTTTCTGCCTGGATTCCTAGATGGCAGCCTCTTTATTCTTGAATGCAAGGCGCAAAGCCTACGTGATCCTTTTTAATTATATATGAGATCCATTTTTAATTGCAAGCCTCTATAAACAGAGCTGCCGAGCTTTGACAGGCAGCTCTGGGTTATCAGTCTTCATTATGAAGAGGACACATTCAAAGGCAATTGCTAAGGGGAGGGATAGCAGCTATTCCACGGGAACAGCACAAAGACAAGTTATAACCATGAATGCCAGTCTTTCCACCCACAAAGATCCCAGTAAGTAAAACTGTGGTCCTCCAGTGCTGAGACAGCTGGAGTGCTGAGAGTCATGGAACCAGGAGGACCTTAAGAGATCACCCATCCTGCGTTCAAGCCATGGTCACCAACAGCACATCTGTTCCTGCAAGCATTTATCCCAAATCTCTAGTAATGGGAATACCTCCCCTGCCCTAAGCGGTCTGTTCCAGAGACAAATATCCCTGCTGTGAGTCTAGCATCTATCCTGAACCTTAGCTGCTGCAATCTGAGCTCACCATTTCTTGTCCTCTTCACAGCTGATGAAGAAACAGAAGAGCTAACAAAGCTCCTCCAGTGACCATACTGCCTCTACTGGCACAGTCCTACAGCCTGATTCATGGACACAGACTTGCTGAAGCTTCCCATTTACACAGGGGCAACTGCCCCACATTCCTAAAGCCACGCTCCTGCTACTAAGACACTTTTCTCAGGATCAGGATCCAGAGACCTCAGAGGAGGTGGTACCCAGAAAGCCCTCATCAAAATGCCTCATCAGGACACAGGAGAATGGAGACAAATATTTGCATCCTCTCAGCTCTGTGGAGAGAAAGCCTCCCACTGCGATAATATTTATTTTTGTCGTGCATCTGCTATTTGAGTCTGTAATTAATATCAACATATTTCAAACACCAGGCAAAGCATCTCCCAGCCACAAAAAGACACTCCAATTATGTATCACTGATTCACTGAGGCTGGGAAAGACCTCTGAAAATTGTCTATGGTCTTTCCCCTCTCAGAGCAGGGTCAGCTAAACCAGGTTGCTCAGGGCCGCGTCCACGGTCACGCTCAGCCAGCACACTCGGCTTTTCTTGAGGGCAGAAAACAAGCCACTGTGTTTCTAAAGAGAGCAGGAGCTGGAGGCATGGGGGAGGAAGTGGGGAGACTCGATCAACACATAGTTCAAGATGGTCCCTTCGGTGAGGCCAGCAGTAGACAGATACGCATTGCCCTCCCAGGGAAGCAAGGAGAGAAGAAAGGCAGGATTTCTCTACCCACAATTTCTCCCAGCTGCTCATAAAGCCTCCCAGCTCTCAGCTGCTCACAAAGCCCCCAGCTCTTCAGGCTCCCAGCAGCCCTGGACTAGAAGCCTCCAGGCAGCCTGCAAGGGCATTCTGCTCCATCCCCAGGCTCTCTGCAAGGAAGCTGTTTGCCCCATGATTCAGAGCAGGCAGCTGGTGCTAGCTTTCTTTCCACAAGAAGGGCAGATCTTTTTGTCTGCTCACCTTTGCTACAGATTAAGCGGAAAACAAAAACCAAAGGACAGACAGATAAAGGCCCTGGTAGAAACAAAAATGCTGAAAGCTCAGCAGTCTCAGGAGTTTTGATGCTGACTGCTATAGCACCAGGATCTCACAAGAGACTGACTTGAATGGGGGTGGAAGGCAAGCCCCCCACTTGAAACAAGTTGCTGGTTAAAGGGCAGCACACTCAGACCAGGGCCCAAGTGCCACGGGCACAAAAGGCAGCACGCTGCAGGAGCAAGAGGGCACAAACATGTTGCTGTTCCCCCTCCTGCTCCCCTCTGAGCAGACTCCACACCAGAGCACAGAGGGCGCCGGCAGCTGCTCCCCTTTTCAGTGACAATAACCATGGCAGTGCTCAGGAACTGAAATCAAGCACCATTGCCACCAGTGCGCTGCGCTGTGTGTATAGCAGAGAATATTCCAGCATTAACAGTCCAATTCCCTTTCTTATTCTCTCCCCAGCAAACTGCTGGCACACCCTTCCTCACAGCATTCTGAAGGTATACAAAACAGACAAAAAAGACTCGTCCTCATGACAAGTTAGGAACCTGCAGCTTTGTTGCAGACTCCAAGTTTGCAAGCAAGTCCTTTTGCTCACAGCTCAAAAGCCCTGTACATGAACATCAGCCATATACCAAAGGCACTTCTGACACATGACAGAAGTAAACTCTCCACACAGATAAAACCCTCACTTAGGCAAAATGTGGAAAAAGATGTTGTGATTGAAGACCATGTGGTCTACAGGGTATGTGTTTATGTGCAGACCTCCAAAGACCTCCAGTTCCTAGCAAGTACTCATCTTGGCTCTAGAGAAAATAAACAGCACTTTGGAGCCTGGTGTGAAACCTGGCCAGCACCTAAAACAGAGAAGAGATTAGACCAAGAAATGTACCACGCTCTCCAAAGCAACTAGAGAAATCCTGCAAGTCACCTCTCAGCAGCTGCTGCAGATTTAAGACCATATTTTAAAATAAGTACTTCAGAGCCAGAATTGCAAAATACTTCTGTGCCTTACTCATATATGAAAATTAGGTTTTGCCCTGAACTTCATCAGGGCAGAAAAGATATTCTGAGAACATCAATAAGCACTTTTCTACCCTTCGGGTTGTTTAAGCATCTTCAAGGTGGTACCACGCTAGAACCTGCACACAAGGGCAAAGGCCAAAGAGAGTGATCAAAGAGAAGATCAACACCATTAAAAAAAAAAAAAAAAAAAGAAAGAAAAGCAGTGTCAGTTTCTCATGATTGTTCTATACCTCTTAAAAGAAATCATAAATGTTGATGTAGTAGCGTTATCTCAAAGGTCGTATCTACAGCCCCAGAGCATGACTTTGTACATACACCTAACCAGGCTATTCTGGAATACAAAATCATCATCCTGACGCCTACCTATCCAAATGATTGCATTTCACAGGCTCATCAGAAGTGTGCACAGGAGGGAGTCCACAGTAATCAGGCTGGCCTGAGATCTGGTCCTTAGGCATGATGCGGTGAGGATAACAGAGAGCTCTGGTTGGCAGCCAGTGTTTCCTGGAATTCATTTAATTCCTTCGAAAGCCGGTTATATTAAATCCAACAACAACAACTAGACAACATCAAAAAAGCAAATCCTTCTGAAACAGCGTATTAGCTAAAACACGATTTAGAAAGCAAGATCTGCAGCCAGAGATTATGGTCTGGCTTTTACAAGTAAAACAATTTTCAGGCTGCCTGTGTTGAAAGCAATCTCTGAGCAAGTAATTTCACAACATCCATCGAGCTGTCTCATTAAAAAGCCATTGCCCTATCTATGGCACACTTCCCTCTGCAATCCCTTCTTTTTTGTTTTTTCTTCTTTCTTTTTTTTATTAAATAATTTTCTTCTCATTACAAAGCAACAGTCTCCTGTAAACCTTTAGATGCCACACTTCAGACTCAAGGATCTAAGTGGTTATTCTTACAGAATCAGTCATTGCTGCAAAATTATTCCTAAACCTTACCCCACCCCTCCATCCTTCCTCTCCTCTTCCTGACTCTTGGCTTAACTTCCCTGGAAGGGAAACAGCTCCTCCTGCAGAACAGAAAATGAGTTTTTAAGAACTAAAGGACAATGCAGTCACTGATTCCCTGCAGGAGTGATGTCTACAGACCAACTAACAGGCAACTAATCGTTTATCGTTTTCTCATGCCTGTAACTGACCTTCATTAAGGAAAAGGTGTCATGCTGCAGGACTCTTATCTTCCCCCCCATGCTATTCCAACCCCCCTCCCCCCCCCAAAAAAAAATTCAGGGTCTTTTACTAGATGACCTTTAACCATGGGAATAAAACAGACGGAAAAACCTCCCAGATCACTGAGCACACAGTGCTCTAAAAGAATCATTAACCCTGAGACAAATCTGTGTGGAAAAAACAGTGAAGAAAATGACCAACTCTAAAACCACAACCAAAATGAAAGAAAAAACACAGTTGGCTATGCTCTGTACCTCCAGCACCGTACCCCCCAGTCAGCTGGAATAATATTCCTCATGCCAGGCCTCAATCCCCCAAAGACTTCTACCTCACTTAACTTTGCACAAGAGGATGAGCCAAAGGCAGTTCATGTCACAGCCTGCTGTGCCCTCTTCCATACACACACAGGCCCTTGCAGGGTGCAGGTTCTGTGCTGGAAGAACTGGCACAATTTCAAGTTTCTCTGTTCAATTTTATGCTGCTGTCTGCCCCTCTGCATATGCTCCTTGGTTTCCCTCCAATGCTCTGGATGGGGAATAAACAGCTGATGTAAACTGTGCTGAAATTGTGCATCTTTCCATACAGACCTTCCAGGCCACTGGAGAACTGAGACTTGAGTCTCAATTACCTTGTTTATCAGCCGATTTCATATTCTTTAAACTATCTTTTATAGACTGAGCACTTGATCCATCGTGGAAAAGGTTCCACAACAACAGATTAGTAACAAAAAAGGGCTTGGTTGGTTTTGGCGTTTGTCTGTTTGTTTGCTTTTGGTTGGTTGGATGTTTGGCGGAAAGGGGAAAGTTAATTTTATTTAAGTGTTTTATGGACCTGTTTGCATGGGCCCCCTGAACACCTCCTCTTACATCACTTAATTATCTGGTCCAAACCTGGTCTATCATCAATCTCTTCATTCTACCTTTTAATGAAGGATTTCCCCATCCTAAATGGTCAGGTTTTGTTTTGCTTTTTTTCAAGCTGACCCAGGAAAGCAATCAAGGAATCACCTGGGTTCTGCTGGAACAGCTTCATGATCCTTCTCCCACGTGATGACAGGAGAGGGCAGTCCTTCGATCCGGCACTCAAACCGGGCCATGCCATTTTCTTCCACTGTCTGTGACTCTGGCTGTTGGAAAAAGCGTGATAACGCTGGGGAAAGAAGAAGGGAAGGAAAGTTAGTAACTCCATGTTTCTGCTGAGAAATGCAAACTCGTTATGATGTATGAGATAAGAGGAAGGCTTTTCTCTCCTAAGGATAGCCTGAAATATAATTCCTCACTTTCCAGTGCCCTACAGACCCTCTTCAGTCCTAACAACAGTGGCTGAAAGGTTTCAATGTGCAAATTTGCTTCTTGCCTCATTTTCTCCTTTAAGGCAACAGTGTGAGAGAAAAGACAGACAATTAGCTCGTTTCAGTAGTTACCTTCCCACATTGCTTCCTTGTCTGTTCACTTGTTCCATTTGGGAAGGACACGTAGAATTAGAAAAAAAAGAGGGGAAATGCCACAACCCCAAGAGACAAGAGTTTCCCTTTGCCTTGTAGCATTCCTGCAGCCACAGGAAATTAAAACAAGGCAAGAGGAAGAATAAAGCCAGATGTCAAGTTATTTACACAAAACAACTGCCCACAGGCTGGCAGTGCTGGAGACTAGGGGAAGAGACCACAAGGGTTATGATCCTCCTTCTCCATAGTGAACAGCTTCACCTGAAAAAAACAACTTGATCCTGCTCAAGCAGATGAGATGCAGCCAAAGGGATACAGACACAGCCACAGCCACCTGACTAAGAGGGGGGATGGATTTCATACATGTTTGGACACTTGTTTGATCTCCAAGGCTCACCCCTGTCTACGTTTCTTTCTATACTAAAGAGGCTGAAATTGCTTCGAAGACAAAGCACTAACGTTAGTGATTGATCTTGGACTGCACCCTTCCTGTCGTTCATACGCAGCTGCCTCATCTTCCTCCCCTTCCATGCACACAGCAAAACCCTGCTGACATCAGCGGAGGAGAAATCCTGCCCCTGGGACTGTCAGCATCTGTCCTATCAATAGCATAACCCAAAGGCATCTCAGTCACACGGTGGAGTTTTGAATATGCAAGCGGGCTCCTTGATAGGGGCAGAAAGCTTGTATTCTTCTCCACCAGAAGAACCGGCTTCTGCTTTCAATAACCCTCTGTTAAACTGTCTTTGCTGTTAAACCCACCCTGCCATGCAAATTCATCCAGCAATGCTGTAACACAAGTACCAGAAATCCTGAACATGGCACAATAAACATAAATTTCAGCCAGAAAACAAGCTTGACTGCTGGACCAAGCACAGTGCTGTGCTTATAAGGACCCCAAGTGACCTTCTAGTCCTCCAACACAATTATGTGCTTGTCCCACCACTGCTTCCCAAGAACATCCATCATTGCTTTGGATTTTATAGGACTCCAAAACTGAAGTTTTCTTTGCATCGTGCACACACACACAAACATACATGCACACACGTACAAACTTTATTGCACTGTTAGCTTGAGAAAGTATGTACAGTTTTGAAAATTAAATGCTTTTACTTGACTCATTTTAACCTCGGTGTATTCTCAGCTGTCATTAGTGTTTTTCTTTAATTTAAATAGTTATCACATGTTTAAAGCAACTCATTGCTCTCCGCAGCAGCTACAGACTGAATTCTCCCACCAGCTGTCCACCAAGTCTAGTTTTTCAATTCAATACAAATGGCAATGAAAAATGTTTTCCTGGAAAAATTTGAGAAAGACGTTAATATGTAAGGCCCCAATCCAGCCAACTGCTTTAGTATTTTCAAATATACACTGCAGATCACTTTAACACAGAGTAATTTCTACGGATTACAAGATCTTTTAAGCTCACGTTAATAAAACTTGCTGAACCAAAGAGTTTAAAATAAAATCCATCAAATGCCAGCTCACATTCAGGATGGCACCATCAAAACATCCTTCTCCTGGCAGCACGTATCCTTAATTCTCTTTCCCATTATTCTCTTTTCATCCTACAAGTGTAAATGAGAATACTTTGGCAGGCTCTGAAGAGTCATGTACCTGGAAAGGTCAAGATGGGAGGCAGGAATCCTTCTAAAAAGACAAAATCTGCAAGCAGCATCTCTGTTTCCTCTGCTTCATGTCAGGTCACCTGTCTCTCTTCTGTTCATTATTAAGTGGCATCATCTAAACTGATACAATGAGGTCCCAAAGTTTACAGCAGCTTTATACCAGTCTCCAGAGACTAGAAAACCTAAGTAGCATATGGTGTGCATGAACAGCAACACCACTGTCACCAACAGTGGTGAAAAGGCTCCATGAATTCCAGTGGGCAGCTCCCCACCCTCTTTGTCCTCCCTCACGGCTGCATGCACGTATATTTTGTACAGTCTGGCAAGGGATGCAGGACGTTTAGTGAGCTAGGCTTAACTCTGCACATTCTGGCATGAAGTGCAAAGGCATACAAAAGGTGATAGTGACTCCTGGGCTCCCTGGGGTTAGCCAGACAATAACCTGTCCCAAAGCAAGAGGCTGCTAGCTATTACTGCCCATCACCTGCCAGACCTGTGTCTGCAAGCTTGAAATTCCCTGCTGAGAACCGGATCCTGCCCTTCACCTCCTTCCAGCCCCATCTGCCTGCTGTGCTGGGCTCCAGAACGGCTCTTCAAAAGTAAAGAGCCAAGAAATGCACCCGTGACAGATTTCTCATTAGGATGTGGAGGAGCGTGACTAAACAGCGACCCTGATTAGGGAGCGCAGCGTCCCTCTCGCTCCGAGCAGCACGCAGGAACAGCCAGGCTTCCCAAGCAAAGTCACAGCTCCCTGGCAGAGCCCACAAAGCCCGAGAGCTCAGTGGGTGCCAGAGGTTCAACCTTGGCATGGCAGAGCAAACCGTGTTTCATCTGCTAGGGCCTTCTCATGGTAACTCTTGGGGTGGGATTTAGAGGCTGAGCAGCTCTGTCGCATTCCTTTTACAGGGTCAGGATAGGGATAGCGGGGATCGCTGAGGACAGGCTGAAAAAAAAAAATAAATCACTTCTGTAAGCTCTGAAAGAAGCAACCTGCAGCCTCCCCAGTGAAGGACAGGACAGAAAACATGAACAGGGATCTTTTGTGCAGAGAAACCAACACCAAAACAAGATAAGAACAGTGAAAAGCTTTCTTTGAAGCAGGACTGAACAAGAACCCTGGATCTCTGCACTGGCAAAGCTCAGGCAGACACAGGCTTGCTGGCCAGGCTCACTGATGCTGCACAAGCATCCTCTGCATCAGCTTGGGGCCAAGACCACAGCACGCTGTGATCCCTTGTGTTCCTCCTCTCTCACCCCAAGGGGTATCAGGGTGGAATGAAGGAAGCAGAACATGTCCAGCACCTACAGTGCAAACAACCTAGGCTCTGAGCTGTGCTGCAAACAGCTGGTGCTCAGAGGAAAGAAGAGAATCAGCCAGAGCAAGGCAAGCCTGCCGTGGAAGGAGAGAACTGGAAAGCAGATCCTGCTACTCTGAGGCACTGCATAGAAGTGAGTGCGGGTCACAGCGAGCACAAGCAGGCTCCAACACACTGCTCACCCTAGGGCCACAGGTATCCTTAGGAGGGGCTGTTCTCCCAGAAACACGCTGTGATGGAACGGACTAACTGCAGAATTGCTGCAAGTGAGAGGTTTTCACATAGGGAGGCAGGGAAAGAAGATGCTTGAGGGGAAAAAGGAAACAAAGACAACAGATACATACTTGACATTATTTTCAACTCCTCAGCTAGGGTTTAGCTTGCAAAGCTATCCCAAGTCACAAAACACCCCCCAGCCCTGTTGCACTGATTACCCCGAACACCTTAATAGGCCACTCAGGAAAAATTACCCACTGCAGGTGAGAAGGTGAAGAGCATTACAGCAAACTGCCTTTAGCAACGGTGCCAAAGCACTACACTCTGCGCCTTCAGGAATGGAGCACGCAGCTCCCTCCCCGCTGACACGTTAAACCCAGCTGGAGCCAAGCCGTGTGTGCCAAGGCTTTTAGCCCCGAGCCCAGGGGTGACTGCAGTGTGGTGAAACACAGCACCCTCCCCCTCTCCCAGCAGCCTGATCCGTGCAGGAGGCCATGAGCTTGGAAAGCCTGCCAGCCAGCAACACTACACCCCAGGCAGAAAATGCAGTCTATGCAAGGAATTCAGCCTTCTGAAACGGGCTTGCAGCTCTCTCCCACAGCGCTTTGCCCCCAGACTCTCCGTGTGCTTGTCCCCTTTGTACCTTTTACAATTATTAGTAGGTATTTCTAAGATAGGGGCAACTTCAGCCCCTACTAAGATCACGTACACCTCCCAGAGGACCTGCCTCTGAACGGCTCACCTCTGAACAGGCCTGGGGGGGGTGGAAGGGAAACACGCATATAAAGTCATGGGAGCAATTTGCCACGGCCCCACAGTGCGGTGGAGGCAGAGCCAGAACAACGCTCAGTCTGCCGGGCCATATGGCAGCACAGGACCTGTGCTGCCCAGCTAATCCGTACAGGGCTTGTTCCTGCCTCTTCACAGACACCACTTCCCCACCAACTCAAAAGAGTATCTGAAAGTCACATCTGTGGACGGTCCAGAGCCTGTGGAGGTTTTGCTTCCCAGCCTGGCTTTGCCTACAGTCACCAGCATTCACTCACCTCTGCACCTAATCCGCAAAATAAATAGCATAAAATAAATCCTTAAAAGAAGAGTAAATCCCAGTCTGCCTTTCCTCAAATCCCAGACACACCGTGCGTCGCAGAGAAGAGATGCTTTCCTGGTGGAGAGCGGATCATGAGAGCCCACGTGCGTTGATTCCTGCTGTGGCCTGTCCCTCCAGGTGCAGTAACACACCAAACCTCTCCTGCGCTCGCTGCCAGCAGCCACATAACGCAGACCCATTCCCTCCAGGCACAGCAAACGTCTTCATCTGACAGTCACAATTACTATAATTTTCTAGAACCTCCCTCGCACAAAATGTTTAAGCTAAATTAACAGCTTTAACAAATCTTCACAAATGTAGTTATTAACAGGTAGAAAGCTATACCTTCCCACAACTAAAATAACGCCCCTGGTATTTCCACATGGGAGCACGCAGGGCTCGGAGAAACCCAGGAATGTAATTCATCAGCCTGAGCAGCTGTTCATTTAACAGGCACGCTCACACCAAGAGTCGCCACAGAGTCACCCCTCCACGTCTGCCACGGCCACCACTGCCACGAGGTGTGGATGGCCAACCACGGATGGATCCCCAGCCTGGGGAAGGAAACACACTTCGGGTCAGAAGGACAGGCTGATGGCAGGGATAACATATCCCACCTGCTGAACAGGTTTTCACCGCCCTGTACTGATCAGCAGTGCCCAGGGCAATCAGCACAAAGAATAACTCCATCTACACATAAACAGCTTTGGATAGACTACTGTATTCAGCAACAGAGGGGGGAAAAAAAAAAAAAAAAAAAAAAAAGGCCTTTACAATCCTCATTTGCACCAGCTGAATGCTAATGGAGCAAGTGCTTCTGCCAAACCCACAAAACAAATCGAATCGAGATGCATTTCATTAATCAATTCCCTTGCTGCTCTCCATTCAGAAATGAATATGTTATGTCAGGTGCGTGTGTGTGCCACAGCAGCAGCGCTTTCCCTGTGCAGATGGTAATAAAAGGAGACATATGAGTATACACAAGGAGAGAGTTCACCTGAAATTTCTTATTTCTGGGAGAAACCCAGAATAGGATGGAGAGACACATCACCTATGTACGCTCCTCTGGAAAAATCCAGGGGAAGGGAAGGGCAATTTAAATCAGTCTCATGGTTTTGAGACGTTTCCCCTGTTCTCACTCGTGAGACATCGAACGGTAAACCCAGGTCCACAGATTTTGTTGAGGCACAAACTGTTGCCACCAGACAAGAGGCAAGGCGCAAATTTCAACACAAGTCACCCCTAAAGGGAATATATTCTAATTCAGGTGGCTGAGACTGGAGCAGGAGCAGCTGAATAAATCCTTCTGGATTAATGACACCTTTTCTACTTCTGGTCTCCCAACTCCCCAGACAGCATCTGCATGTAGGAACCCTGGCTCCATCTTCACAGACCTCAGGGGTCCCTTCACTTAATGAAATACTGGAACCAGCTATTTATCTGGCACTACAAAACACTGAAAGGAGGGAACAGGAGGGATGAGTGACCAGCAATCTGTGGGTGCTGCTGCTGCTAAATTTTCTGAGCAGAAAAGGAGGACATATTGCAAGGGTCAAAGATTTTCCCCAGATCTGGCAAAAGCTTCACCTAGGGAGTGCTAGTTCCTACAGCACTGAAACACACTCTTGGACAAACCTGGACCACACTGCCTGGGGTACCAGAGGCTAAATACACCACAGTGTAGAGTGGGAGTTAGGGCATCCACTCTGCATCCTCACCTAGCACAGCTCTGAGCAAGTGCAAAAGCACCTCAGCCCTGATGGTGTGCTGTGCAGCTGCACTTATCAACATTTACATAAGTCACTGTACTAGAGACAAGTGTTACTGTATTTGCATTATTTTCTAACCTCACCTGTTTGGTCGATCAAGGAATCATTTATTAGCATTCACACATTTAAAATAGCTCCAGAAGCCATTCCTGAATACAAAAGAATTTTATTCTTGAACGCTGCCCAGCGATTCAATGATTCAGATCTTGGAGTGTCTCAGAGATCAAAATGAAAAACAGCTTGAAAAGCTCTTTCTTTCATCTCTTCCATTATAAAGAGCTCTTCACCTCACAAGGCAGTCCCTGACACCCAGTGAAGCCCCCGACTCTGCAGCCGTCTGTCCCAGCCTCCACACTGCTCTTCTTTGACTGGAGTTTCCCCTGGAGTTCAGAGATTTACACCGCGCTGAGATGGGGTAAATTCTGCCTCTTGGGAACCCAGTGGCACCTACTACATTCACCAGCTGCTGAGGGAACTACAGCTGCCTGGTTCTGCCTAGTCACAACGTTCCTTGCTCAGCACCGAACTCCCCAAGTCCCCTCCACGTTCCTCCCCAAACTGTGCTGTCTGTTTGCCCGGGAACCCAGAAGAGACCAACAGTGACCTGGAGGCAGCTGAGCTGATGTGCACAGCCAAACCCAGTGCATGAGACCTAGAGCACCTTCCCAGCACTGCCATCCTCTCTGCTTCTGGCTCTGACCTCCCTGCAGCTCTCTAGTTGAACTTGCACTCAGTTCCTTACAGAAGAGCTCTTCCAAGTCTTTCCAAGACCAGACCACCCTGTCACAGCAGGACAGGCTGGAAAGTACTTGATCAGCTCCTCATTTGCTCTGCACCTAGCTCTTCAGGCCCAGCACGGAGAACTGGGACTGCAGGAGGGGATGCTTCAGATTAGCAAAAAGGTGCCAGAAAAAGTTACCCTGCCCTGCCTGTCTATTTCAGTTCAAACTCCCCCTTTTGCAGTTCTGACACTGCCAACACCACTCAAATGCACCATTAGAAAGTCAAGGACAAGAACAGCCCAGTAACCTGCATCACAGAGGAGAGGCAGTCATGGGTCCAGCAGCTCTGGGTCCTTCTAGCCATGGGGGCCTGGCAAGATTTGTCAGACACAGAAAAAGATGATGGTAGAAGGCTGCCTGGGAGTACAAGTCCAATGCCATGGTCTAGTTTGGTCTCTGTGGGAGGGGAGGATTTCATTATAGGCATGTCAGATCATGCTGATGCACCAGGATTTCCTTATCCAGAAGCCCTGAGCACACTGCTCTCTCCCACTGCATAATGGAGTTGAAAAGCAGGGTGCTGGACTTATCCTTCTGTGCTGGGACATGCTCACTGGCACTGAAGCACTGTAAAACCGTTTTGGCTTATCTGCTTCCTCCCAAATCTGAAATCAGCAGCACTGTGCTTTAAAGAGAGCATGTCTGGGAACTGAAATTCAGTCCATCTGTCCCCACTGGGACCCTGGTACCTTCCTCGGCTCCACAAGACACAGAGAGTGCCTCAAAACACTCCTGCTCGCTACAGTCACCAGCCTAGGCTCTCATCAGATAAGTTGCTTTGCCAAAGACCAAGCTCCTACTATTCACTGTGCTAAAGGCAGAGCTAAGCTTTCACAAACAAAAGCCATCAGAAGGGGAGATGTCCAACATCCCGTCCATCAGGACCTCACAGCGCAGAAGATGAACGATCCCAAGGCCTCCCACAGCGCATCAGTTCCCAGCTATGTTCACAGTCTTTATCATTTTCACGAGGCTATACTGAGACACACTAAAGCCATCAAAGTCACCAGACGTTCCAAATGGGGAGAGCAGTAGGTGCCCCCAGAAGCCGGTTAAGATCTAAGCCAGATACTGAGAGCAGGGACAAAGGGGAACTTGGACCACCTGAGTACAGCCTGGCTTGTTTTCAGTGCTTTTTGCCCCTCAAGAGACCACCCACATCCACCTGACCGTCTCTTAGTGATTAACTGTTTTTATCAGCGTATCCACACTCTTCACTCAGGGCAGATCCTGACCTGGACAGAGTTGCAGGCCACCCACTGCCACCTCTGGGGTGCGGATGGGATAAAGAGCTCAGCACAGTCGAGCTGGGAGCACACAGCACACCGATGCAAGCAGCCCCGTCCCAAACACAACCAGTCCTTCCAGCTGTCCCCATGCAGGTAATGCGGGTGCATTCCTGCACGCACCATCCAGAGGTGACTCATGCAGAGGAAAGGCAATGGGTGCTTTCTCCCAACCCCTTCCCTATCACTGGCCCCTTAGCTTCAGCCAGTGCTCACAGATTTAGGGCAGTGCTCCTTATCTATGTCACTAGGGCAACAAGGCCGTCATAGGCTTGGCCCAGACCCCCACAGCCCCCTCCCCAGGCAGAGGGTCCTGCACTCAGGGATGTGAAGTGTTGAGTTTGCTGCAAAAACAAGCACTGCCTTTTGGACAATGAGGAAAGTCCTGTGTTTCATTCATGGCTGATGGCACTTACCTGGGAGGGTTACACAGGATGGTAACAGTGGGATAACAGAAAGACAGCAGTGCTTATTTGTGGACTATCCCAAATCCCACCTACACATCATTAACAGAATTTCATTTCATAGACACTTTATCTTAAACTCTTTGGGAGGCAGACGGTCTGTATAAACACCACAAGGGGAAAAAAAAGAAAATCAACAAAAAAACTCCAACACTTACTTGAAAATCTGACTGCAGCCGTTTGACTGGTGACAGCCCCTAGGGAGCTGTGAGACACGCAGGAGTAATTACCCTCAGCACCAGCCCTCTCAGGATATTTACTGTCCTTTGCCACAGCCTGGGATGAGATGAAGAGCGATCCATTTGGAAGCACATGGAGATGTTCCTGCTCCACTAATGGAAACCCATTCTTCTTCCATGTGATATTGATCACCTGCTCAACAGGGGACAGGTTACAGTCCAAAATCACGACTTGATTTGGCTCCAGTATCACCTTTGCAGGACCAGCACTACAGCTCAGCTCCAGCGAATCCCCTTCCAACAGCCTCCCTGCAAAGAAAAGACAGCGTTGCAGTGGGGTTTGCTTTCCTTGGTTAATCACATCCTAGTTTTACACAGTGAAGGAATCACAGTTCTCCATGAGTGTGGTTGGAGACAACAGGTGAAATTCAGCCCTGTTAGGTGACAAGCACCTCCCATGACACTTGTGCACTGCATTCTCCATCACGCATCCCTAGGGCTGCACAACCTGCACTATTTCTGCCACCCTGAACTGTGCCCGGCAGCCACCCCTTCTGTCCACACTTGCTTTTTCCATGCTGGATGCAATCAGAGAAGAACAATCAGAAGAAAGTGAAGTGATGGCAACAGCAAGAGGAAGCACAGAAGATGCAGCAAGGGCCCCAACCTGCCATGGTTGCCCATGACAAGGGAGGACTCTCCCTCACCTGCCTGCACACGAAAACCTCCTCCAAAACTGATCAATGCCCAGAAAACAGCTAAGTGCAAGCAAAGGTATTCAAGCCCAGCTTGGTGCCCCAATGCCAATGATCACAGCTTGATTTGAGCAGCTCCCCCTCAGGGGAAACTGGCGGCAGGAACTCAAGCCCAGCTGGGAATCCAGAAAGTGTCTCTCACCAGTTCATGTACGGGGAAACTCATTTCAAAGGAAAGACAACAAAAGAACAACTAAAAATGTGACCTACTGTCTCTGTGCCTTTTATCCCATATAGGTGAATCCAAAATGAGAATGGATGGATGCGTTTTTCCCCACTAGAAAAGGATGTTCCAGCTGCAAGCAGATAGTACACAGAACATGCCTTTAGGCAACCTGCCTGCTGCAGCTGGAGGCCAGAGCAGTGACCAGCAGCAGGCTAATCTGAACAGGTCCTGGTCTGGCCCATTTCCAAACCCACGTACTCGTAAGAGAACTCCACCTCTGAAACAAGGCTCAGCATTTCCTAAAAGAATATTGCCATTAATAAAATGCATTTGCCGTTAGAGTTCTCCAGAGACACTAAGTCAATGTTAGCTGGCAGCGCTGCTTCCACACACCAGCAATTTCAATCTCTGCTGTGCTCAAACCATCACCATCCACTCTTTTTATGGCTCTGCTCCAAATTATTTTGTCACTGCTCCAATCAGAAATGTTTCCTGCCTCTATAACAAGTTTATCAACACTGGATATGAACCACATGGCTCCCTGCCCGTCTCCTATCGCAGAAGGCTACAGATTAATTTTATAGGAATTCAAACACCCTATTAAACCTGCTACTACCTACTGCTGATAAAAGGGCTGCATTTTAAAAGAGTATGTGTTAAGCATGCAATTAGGGGCAATGACACGCAAAATTACACATGCAGGGAGATGGAATTATTTCAAGGCGTGTGCCGGAAACCGCAGGTGCCCCTGAAGGAAGAGCCTAACCCTGCCCACGCGCGGGGCTGATTCGGTGCCCACCCAAGCTCCCAGGGCTGGGAACTTGACAGGTTTGCCATCATTGTCAGTTTGCAGAATGACCACTGAGAACTTGATCTTGGCCAGCTATGTCCCTTCAGCGACGAGGAGGCTACACAAGAATCCTACCTGTCTGCTGCCTGTTGATTGTCATCACTACGGGACAGAACAGACCCTGCCCCAAGCTCTGTTACCTTCACTAGGATGTCCAGGGCACACTCTCCCAGCCCCCAAAGCCAAACCCTGTCAGGATGCAGAGGTGCCCATTTCACACCACGCTACACACACAGCCAGCACAACACCCACGCACTGTACTCCATGAAGAAAGGGCAGCTATTGCCAACACAGAGCTGCCTGCAAGTGCCTGGATTTAGGGTTTTCCCACACAGATGCTTCCACTGTGCTGCTAACTCACACTCTGTGGGAAGAAGGCACACTGAGAAGCAGCAGACATCACTGCGCTCCCAAAATGTAATTTCTGAATTTCTCAGCCAGCATAGCCCTGGCAGGTTCCTTGCTGCCCAGCCCCCTCAGGTCTGGGAGCAAGCTGAGGAATGCCACTACGCAGGAACTGTCATCAAATGCCCTCCTGTAAGGGCAGTTCTGCCTCTTCACGTCTCCTAGGGGAGATTAGTCCCTTGAGGATCACAGCAAGCTACAAAACACACTCACTGGTTCCACAGGAGGCTAGAAATAGGGGAACATGAAGCTGAAAGGCTGCCCCAAATGCTCTGGAAGGACACTGCCACTGGAAGCCTTCCATCCAAGACAGCTGGTACAAAACTTCTGTATCAAACAGGGAGAATTTAAGCACAGAGCAACTTACCATCAAATATCTGTGCAGAAGGTGACATGGCCAAACACAGGAGAGGGCGAACAGTCTGAGGCTGGGGAAAACCTCAGCTGAGATGATGACAGGAGGCACATTCAGAGCCACGACCCTGTTGCTGCTGTGAGAACACCCATCCACAGAGGAGCAGCAACCCAGACACTTTTCTGAAGGGATCTCCCTGTAGCAGCTGCTCCTGGCAGCATGTCACACAGAGCTTAGCCTGTGTGCATGTACCACCTCCAGGGAGGTAGGGCTGCTAAGGCAAAGGCTGGGGCTTGTGATGCAGAGCTTATTTTAAAAGTTGTTGAAACTTTGTTGGCTAAATTCTTAATCTATTGCCTTTCCTTAAATCTGTTGTCTTTAGAAGCTCAGGCAGAGACTGAGGAGACAAGGAATTAACTCAGGTCACAAATCGGTCCCCTTAGCCGATGGCTCCAGCTTTCTCTTTGCATCTTTCCCCTCAATTCCTCCTTTACTTGTCGCTGCCAGAAGTGACACATAGATGCATCCTGGACAGCTCTTGTGTGCCATGAGCATTATGGGCACCAATGCTGCCTGTGCCTACTCTTAGGCTGCTTCAACACCAATCCTACCTTAATGCAGCAGGGCTGGGTGGGCATGGCCATGTGGAATCAGCTGGCTCTTCATGCTGGGCATCCCACATGCCCTCTGCCACCACACACATGGGCTGTCCTCCTGCCTCCATATCCACCGTGGGCTCCTGCTCCATGCCAGGCAGTCCTGTTCATCTTCTGGGGAAACAGCCTGTGTATCTGTCCTATTTTCTATTTTCTTCAGACAGTAATTAAAATGGCATTTTGCTGAAAGCACTCCTCCTCTTTAAAAGGTGAAGCGCGAGGGGACAGCTGGCTGGCTCAGGCAGCCAGGAATAGAGCAGAGATCTGCAGTGCAGCTTCCCACGCCAGCACAGGCCGGAAAGAAGCAATTATCAGCCTCTCAAACTTCAATCCCTTAAAAATCAACTCAACCTGCTTACAGCAGAGTAAGAACAGACAGCTCTATACTTTGCATCACTGCAGAAGTAGTATTTACTTTTCAAAATCATGTGATGATGCTTCTTTATCCCTAAGTATCACCCAGCTCTTTCCCCCAAAGTCAAAACCTACCTGGATCCAAGCTTCTGGTTGTTATGTTAGAGAAAAAAGGGCCAGATACAAAACTCTGTGGGTGCAGAGCTCACCCACACCAAACCCAACAGCCTGGTTCAGGTCTCTCTGCGATACCAAGAGAGGAGAAATGACCATCGGAGGGAAGTTCTGCCACATCCCAGGAGCACACTCGCCGAGGAACACACTAACACCAGCAGCAAAGGATCCTCCACCAGCAGAGGTGGGGTCTGTTTCTATCACCAGTATTTGGTGCACTTGCTGAGCTGGCCATGACAAAACTGGCTATTGACAGGAGGAGGTTGTTTTCCTTCATGCCTTCACACCAATAAATGCACGATTGCACAACATCTTTAAAGAACAATAGTCACTCCTTTCCTGCAAAACTGTTCCAACCACATAATCCACCTAGTAACAGCAGAAACCATTTACAAGCAACCAACCTCCAGGGTATCAGTATGTTTCTACTTGGCAAGTGTCTACTGGATCACCAAGCAATGCAGGCTGCATGTGACAGTGAGAGCTCGTGACCATACTCAAACCACCGCCCTTTATTCCAGAAGCACCGAAAATGTTTCTAGACCAAGAAGCCACGTAAAAACCCAGATGTACTCACAACCCTCAGGGCTCAAACTGAGCACCTGGCAGAAGACCATGACAAGGTCAAACACATGCGATAACCCAGTGCTGTCTGTCACTTAATGCAGCCTGGGAAGGTTTCCAGCTGGGCAAATGAAGCCTCCAACTGACATCAGGCTGCTCTGACCTGTCCTGAATCGTTCAGTTCTCCTTCCTGCCCTTTTGGCCCCAAAATACTGCAGGTTTTTGGGGACAGACCATTTGCATGTACAGAGATTGGAGCAGCCCAGCCCAAGACCTGAACTTGGCACTGCAAAAAGCCCCACTACTGCTCTTGTCCTAAGATGTTCAAAGAACTGTATAAACACTCCCTGCTTAAGGAAAAAATACCTTCCAGGCTCTGGAAACGTAGGAGGAGGTCTGGTTCAAAACACCACACTAAATTAGCAAACCTGACAATGAGATAAAAGCCCCTTCAAGGGAAAGGATCAGAAGAGAGTAAAATTACTCCAAGTGAGATCAAAGACAAATGAAATCAGGAATGTTAAGTGATTACAGAAGCTGCTGACTATTTCCAACCTCCATTCTTCATCGTATAGTGACAGAAATGGATACAACCCTCTTTAAATACAAAGCCACACACTCACACAGCCCCCTGCTCACCTTCACCCTCTTACCTGCCGGTGGTAATGCTGTAATGAATGTAGTGAACACTACCCAAAACAGCCACCTGCCTCATACAGCAAATACAGCCACTCCAATGGACATCAATAATAACACGGAGGTGGGTTTCCAAGTTAGAAACTTTTCACATATCAGTTCAAGGCAGGTGTTTCGGCTACAGACTTGTGCTTTGGAGTCCGAGAGCTTTTTGCCTTTGGCTGCTCCTGGATGTAGTTTCAAGCATCAAAACCTGGCAGCACTCAATGTTTTCAGCTCATGGATCTCTAAAGCGAGGCCAGCAAACCCTGTACAGCGCTGCCCTATGATGGGCAACATCACATATACGTTCAAAGCAGGTTTTTACACCACAGTACACAAAGCTGCCTGTCTA